TATATATATATATATATATTGGTTGGTCAAAACCATGAAAAGTTATTCCCCATATTCTATTAACAGTATTATATTTTGGGCAAAATACAAAAAATTTGTTGGTCGGTCGAAATTAATTGTATTCACTAGCCAAAAATTATAATACATATAGAGAATGCTATAGTTTCGGTCAGCCAATCAATTTTATGTTTTACCCAAAATATAATACTATCAATAGATTATGGGGAATAATTCGTGGTTTAAAAATTTTAGTTTTCTGACGCAATTATTATTTAGATGAATGAAGTAAGTTTTTTCTTTAATTATGATTTTATATCTATTTGAAAACATTACAAATTATGAAGAATGAAATTCATAGTACTTTGTTTAAATTAGAAATTTAAGAACTCGATATCCCTGCAGAATTAAACTGGTAGGAGAAAATTTACCCCTATATAATATTGACGTGGACCTTGTTAATTCACCCCTAAAAAAATTGAAGAAGACATTAATATGTAAGTCAAATACATGCGAAGTGTCAAAATTATTCTTTAAAATGAAAGGTAGCGTAAGAAATCCACATGTCTTTTCATTTTATTTTTCTTACTAACGAATGAACTTTTATATTAATGAATCCAACATGCAACAAGTCATGTTATTATGGAGAAAATGAAGGTGTATACGGTAAAATCATGTGTCCCCGATTTTGTAGGCTCGAGGGGTCCCATCGAGACAAGTTCGATATGGGTCGGGCTCAAGCCCGATGGTAGAATACTATATTCGAAGATCGGAATGCTCGATGAATACCGGGGCCGAGTATGACCAACCTCGAGATAATACCATATGATTTTATAACAGAAAGAGCGAGATTCCCGCGGTGGCCCTAAGATCACGGCGTAAATTTCGGAACGGATTCGTACTCGGCGGTTAGACAACTGTATAATAAGATTCCCGACTACAATTAGAATTGTACCTCATTTAGGATTCCCCTACTATATAAAGGGGACCCCAATCATTTGTAAGATCCATTCAATCATTGAGAAGAGAATAAACATTTTCATTTTCTTGCCTACTGTTCATCTGAACCGTTTATTATTATTTTACTGTTCTTGTTCACTTACCTCGAGGTCGCCTTTGCTCGAGGTCGAGGTATGCCTACACGACTGGTTTGATTTAACTTATTTCTTTAACTTATACGTTTGATTCCTAGTTTACCAATTAGTATAGGATTAAATCACATATCTTTAAAACCACAAAACAAGTTTAATTGTTACTCGCATTTTAGGGTAAAGAGTTTGGCGCCCACCGTGGGGATAAAGATAATAGTGATAATTTCGGTACTGATTCTGATAACACACGATATTCTCACACTTGTTCTTGTCAAGAATTCTTGTTCTCAGGTTAAATCATGTTAAACTCACAAAATGCACCCGCACACGGCGATGATGGTCTTGGATTTCACGGGGAAAACAACAATGTAGTTGCTCCGGGAGCCGGTGTACCACCGATTAACCCTGGGGAGGTGACTATTGTAGAACCAGTTGACGTTAGTTCACACATTGCTTTGAATGCGGACTTAGGCGCAGACCTCGGAGGAAGTATACGCAGGGAAGTCCAATCTGGTGGCCAAGGAACACAGGGTATAGCAGATGGGGGAGTTAGCCTCCAAGTAATATTCGAGATGCTACAAGCTCAACAGGTTGCTATAGCTCAACTTCAAAGTCAGCATAAAACTCCAAGTGTGATCGAACCAGAAATCGCTCGTCGTACTGAACCGGTGCCAGAAAGATCGGACGGTAATGGCTCGGGAACTGATCCCATGATTATGAGGATGCTCGAGGAACTCATCAAAAGAATCGAACCGGGGGAGAAAAGGATTGAGGATAATGACAAAAAAGTGGAGACGTATAACTCTCGTGTTGATCAAATACAAGGGCACCCTCGGTCTTAAAAGGTTTGGATGCCAAAAAGTTCGTACAAAAGCCATTCCCTGCGAGTGCGGCTCCGAAGCCCATTCCTAAGAAGTTCCGTATGCCAGATATACCTAAATACAACGGGACGAGCGATCCTAATGAATACATCACCTCGTACACATGCAGGATTAAAGGAAACGACCTAAATGATGACGAGATCGAGTCGGTTTTGTTGAAAAAGTTTGGGGAAACTTTATCAAAGGGAACGATGATCTGGTATCACAACTTTCCACCAAATTCTATCAATTTGTTTGCTATGTTAGCAGACGCCTTCGTGAAGGCACACGCCGGGGCCATAAAGGTTGCAACAAGAAAATCGGACGTTTTTAAGATAAGACAGAGGGGTGATGAAATGCTAAGGGAGTTCGTATCCCGATTTTAAATGGAGCGAATGGAATTACCACTGGTCTCGGATGATTGGGCCATGCAAGCTTTTACATAGGGTTTGAACGAATGGAGTCCGATCGCGTCACGACAGTTGAAGCAAAATTTGATCGAGTATCCAGCTGTAACTTGGGAAGATGTACATAATCATTACCAATTGAAGATAAGGGTCGAGGACGACCAGCTGGGAGCCCCCTCGGGTTTAGTTCATCCAAATAGATTGGCAGTTAAGGCCCCAAGGGATATCGACAGGGAGCCAAGATCAAATAGGGAACGGTATCAGCCATATGTCGCAGATCGAAGAAACAACGGTTCGGGGTGCAATCCTCCTCGGAATGATTGAAGAAATGATCGAGGGCAAAACCCTCGGGGACTTATGAGCAAGAATGGTTTTGATAAACATACCGATCCCACGGAAGCATCCCGATTATTGGAGTATAATTTCAGTGTCATGCATCGGGGATCGTATCGGCTATCAGGAGGATCAAAGACACCAGATGGCCCAGACCTATACAAACCGATCCTTCTTAAAGAAATCCAAACTTGATATGTAAATATCATGGCACACATGGCCATAGGACCGAAGACTGCAGACAGCTAAGGGAGGAGGTAGCTCGATTGTTCAACGAGGGCCACCTTCGAGAGTTTCTCAGTGATCGAACTAAGAACCACTTCAGAGAAAGAGACGCCAATAGAAAGAATGAGCAGGAAGAACCACAACATGTAATTCATATGATCTTTGGAGGAGTCGATGTTCCACAGGGACCTATGTTCAAACGTACCAAGGTGTCGGTCACCAGAGAAAAGCGGACTCAGAGTTATGTGCCCGAAGGCATCCTATCATTCGACGACGAAGAAGCGGAGGGCATTTCTGAGCCACACAACTACGCCCTGGTAATTTCTATTTTATTAAATAAAATTCAAGTTAAACATGTTCTAGTGGATCCAGGTAGCTCAGCGAACATAATCAGATCAAGGGTCGTAGAGCAGCTCGGCCTGCAGGACTGATCGCGGCCGTCTCAACACTACACAATGGTAGGAAGAGTGGGTAGCAATAACTAATACCCGAATAGTGGATCGGGTCGAATTTCCACAGGGAGCTTGGAATGGAGTTGTATTGCCTGTTTAGCCTAGAATTGCGTTTGTACTTCTAATTGCACTCCTAACATTTTTGGGGGTGTTTATATTTAAAACTACTATTGTAATCTTAGGATTAAAGCTAAATTATGCTAAGGAAATATTGCTAAGTTGTGCTTAATATAGGAAAAAGGCACTAGGGTCGTGACACTACCTAGGTGGCTAGCTAACGGGTAGAAGCTACTAAGGGGAGATTGATAAATCTGGGTTTATTGCTATAGCCGTTGCACAATTGCACTCATTCTCACACCTCTCGGTAGAGAGAACGATTTTGCCCAATTGACTCTCTCGAGACCAATTAGGTAGGCCAATTAGACCAGGCAACTAGGGCTCAAGTAGGGTAGTTACTCTTTCGAGGTTTAACCCGTTAATTGGGACTACCATTCTCATGGGTCCATCCCAATTCCTTGTTAGGTCAACTTTTAGGGTCATATGACTCTCTTTCTCAAGAAGAGTTAGACCCACTAAGCTTGAATTCATGTTTGCAACCACAAATTCTAGATTGAAACACAAAATTAACCCAAATAACAAATACCCAATCTCAATCTCACCCTAGAATGCAACACCCATTAACTACCTACACTAGGGTCGAGCTACAACCCTAGCTAATGGGTTTAGCTAGACATAATTAAAGAAGAAACAGTAGAAGTAGATGATCAAAATAACATAATAATTGATTGCTAATTAAAAATTATGATATTGAAGAGAAAAATTGCCAAAATAGGCTACACAATACTTCTCACGAGCGCAGCTCTTGTTCAGAATCTAAAACTTGACCTAAAAATGGTAAAAAGATCTATTTATACCCAGCTAGAAAATCTGGACAAAAATACCCCTGCGGGGTCAGCGCGGACCGCGCAAAAAGGTAGCGCGGCTGCGTAGGCTCTTTGAACTCTCAAATCTCATCTTCTGAAGTTGGGGGCTGCGGACCGCACAGAAATGTCGCGCAGCCGCGGCGGAGGGTCGGGGCGGACCGCGCAGGAATGGGGCGCGGATGCATAGCTTGACTTGGCCAAATCTCCATGTCTCTGAATCTCCTTCACGCGGACCGCACTGATATGTAGCGCGGCCGCGTGGGACTGAAGCCTGCACTGGTGGTTCTCTAAACTTCCGTTGCGCGGACCGCGCAGAAATGGAGCGCGGCCGCGTGGCTTGCACCTCAAATTACCCCTCTGAATCTCCTAGCGCTTTCGCGTGTCAAATCAGTGCGGTCCGCGCTAGGTCTTCCTGTTTCTCAACTTCACTTGTTCTTGACACTTGGCAAGTTTCACTCCGTTTTGAGCTGCTCTTTGACATTTGTCACCTTTTTGCTCAAACCTGCAATCAAGCGCAACTTGTAAGCCTTTTGGGACTATTTTGTGGCAATTTGTAACAAAAGCAATAGCAAGTAAGGGGTA